TCTCTCTGTCTCTCATGAATAAATAAATAAAATATTTAAAAAAATTATAAAAAAAAAAAAGAAATTCTGACCATTGTTGCCTGTCAGAGGCTCTGTGTCTGTGGCCCACTCTCTGTCAAGGATACACCAGCCCTGCAGTGAGCCTTTCTTGTTGACGAAATCAGGACTGAAGAGGATTTAGGAATACCTTGGGGCATCTGGGTGGCTCGGTTGGTTAAGCATCTGCCTTCGGCTCAGGTCATGATCCCTGGGTCCTGGGATCGAGCCCCTCTTTGGGCTCCCTGCTCAGTGGGGAGTCTGTTTCTGCCTCTGCCCTTCTCCTCCCCACTCGTTCTCGCTCCCTCTCTCTCAAATAAATAAAATCTTAAAAAAAAAAAAGGAATACCTTGTCAGTGTGTATTTCTGGGCTTTCTGATAAAATTGGATTGTGTGCCCCCAATAGTAAGCATCTCAAGGTTTGGGAAATACTGTTCTTGTGACTTGTCACCCCACTCACTTGATAACCTTTTAAGAAAGAAAATGATTTTTTGGGGTGAGCCATAGAACCCGGCTCCATGCGATGATGTGGCCCAGGGGTTAAGGCCGTAGGCTCTGGGGGCAACCAGCCAGGCGTGAGCTCTTTGAGCCTCTGTTTTTTCAGCTGTGGGCTGGGGATGAACAGCATAGCTCCAGGAACAGTCCCAGGTACGGGGCAGGTACGAGTGATCACCGCTCTTGCTGTTTTATATTTGCTTCAGGAAACTTCCTGTGGACCACAGACATGGCGGCCTGCGTGAAGGAGCTTGTTTTCCATCTCCTGGCGGAGCTGCTGCGCACCGTGCACTCCCTGGAGCAGAGGAAGCACCCTGTCGGCCTGTCCTCCTCCATTGCCCTCCAGCTGAACCCCTGTCTGGCCATGCTGATGGCTCTGCAGTCGGAGCTCCATAAGCTGTACGACGAGGAGACCCAGAGCTGGGTCTCAGGCAGCGCATGCGGGGGCTCGGGGGTGGCGGCGGCCACGGACCAGGGCAGGTTCTCTACGTACTTTCATGCGCTCATGGAAGGCTGCCTGGCGGTGGCCGAGGTGACCCTGCCCACCAACATGAGTGTCACAGCCAGCGGGGTGACCTCAACGACCGCCCCGAATCTCAGCGACTCATCGTCCTCCTCATCCTCCTCCCCAGGACAGACACCTCAGAGCCCTAGCCTCCTGTCGAAGAGGAAAAAAGTCAAGATGAAGCGGGAAAAGGCCTCCTCCTCTGGGAAGCGCCAGTCGTCCCGCTCAGTGGAGTCAGACCCCGCCATGCTCAGCATTGGGGGCAGCAAGCCGGAGGACATGCTATGGTTTCATCGAGCCCTCACCCTGCTCATCATTCTCCGACACCTCACCAGGAAGGACCCGCAGGGTCTGGGTGTGACCAGCGACGCCATCGCCGATGCTTGCCAGGCCCTGGTGGGCCCCACCGCCCACAGCCGCCTGCTGGTGATCTCTGGAATCCCCACCCACCTGGATGAGGGCATCGTCAGAGGGGCTATCCGCAAGGCCTGCAATGCCCATGGCGGGGTCTTCAAAGATGAGATCTACATCCCCCTGCAGGACGAAGACCCCAAGAAACCAAAGGACAAGGCCGAGGGTGGTGACGGCAAAGCCGAGCCGGAGAAGACCCTTGGCTTCCCCAGCGCAGACAGCTTGGAGGTCAGCACGTCCAGCAGCCTGACGCCTGCCATGAGCATCAGCGCATCCGCTTCCACCAGTCAGGCCTCCATCTGCAGCTCCCAGGGTATCTCACAGACAGCCAGTGACCTCTCTGTGGATCCGCTGCCCTCAGGCCTCGAGCCGCCCGTCCCTTCTGGGGTATTAGAGCCCCACGTGGTGTCCAGCCAGGAGAGTCTAGACATCTCCCTATGCAGCACGGGCAGCCTGGGCAGCCTGGGGAGCCTGGGGGAGCCGCTGGACAATGCCGAGACGGCCTCCGTGTCGGACGTGGGCTCCATGTACACCGTCACGTCCCTGGACAACCAGCCCCTCGCAGCGCGCCCCATCAAAGGCTTTGCGGTCGTGGAGGTAACGGCGCTCACACCTTGGCAATCACTAAAATCATGAGCGGCTTGAATCCTCCCTCCAAGGGGGAGCCTAAGAGAAGCCTCTCTAAACCTTCCAGTATTATTTCCAGGGGTTTAACTGATAGGTGACGTTGGGGCACGTAGGGAGCTCCCTGAGGCAGTTCTTGGAAACCACGATGATTTATTGTGTTGATTTTCTGTGTCTGAGGTCACATCTCAAAGAGTGATGTCGAGTCTGATGTCATGAAGTAAATGCAGTTTGTTGCTGAGTGTGGGAAGGAGGCAGAGGGGTTCGAGGGGCCTGACCTTTGCTGGTGGATGGGCTGTATCAAGTGCATTCCAGCTCAGGCCCACCGCTATACATTTGAGTGGCCTTGGGTTGTTTTAGATGTTGACATCAGCAGGAGGGGTCTTCACTGATCCTTATGAGAATAGACTTGCTATTCTGTTCCAGGTGATTCTGAGTTTCCAGGTCACATTTCCACTTCAAGATCCCCTCTGCTTCTTGGGCCTCCTTGTTTAGAAATCCTGCATCCTGTGTCTTCACCCTCGTGTAAGGGGAGTCAGGCTCAGAGTAAAACTGTCCTTCCGTTATTGGATATGGAGAGAAAGGCACTAGAGGGGAATGTGTGTGCATCGCTTCGCTCTCCCAGGGAGCTCTGACAAGAGAGCTCCAGAACCCGATGATTGGTTTCTTCCCTGGAATCACTTCCATTACTCTATGCACCTTCTTCCTGGGGGCTTTCTCGGAGCTGAGCATGGACTTTAGCTCCCTGGGCATTGAGGAAAAACCACAGACCAGGTCAGGGTTTAGCAACAGACATTTCCGGCTGAGATGTTCCCCTCCGAGTTACTGGTGTTGGCGGGTGGCAGAGATGTTCCCAGGGAGGCCAGCTCATGGGAATCAGGCAGCACGCACAACACTTAGGACAAGGAGAGGACTTCAGGGCAGGGCAGGAAGGAAAACAAGGTCATTCCTCTACTCCAATCCTGACGCTTGTCTTTGTTCACACAGATAAGATCCCGAGCCAAAATTGAGAAAATTCGAGCAAGTTTATTTAACAATAACGACCTGATTGGTTTGTCAAGTTTGGATGGTGAAGATGAATTGATGGAGATGTCAACAGAAGAGATTCTCACTGTATCTGTAGTAAATCAGAGTCTGTTTGATACTCAGGGGAGCCCAGGGTTAGAAGATTACTTCAATGATAAGTCGATTAAAGGTGGGTTATGAATTTTTTTTTTAATTAATAGACTTTTGGGGGAGCAGTTTTAAATTTACAGAAAAAAATGAGCAAAAGTCTCCTCTTTCTGTATCCAATATGCCCTATTTTTAACATCTTACCTGAGAAAAGAACTTTGGGGGGCCCTCTTGGGGGTTAGAGATTTGGGAAATGATGCAGTGGGCCCTGGGGAGATGGGACAGACGTTCTTTGCTTGGCTCATGGAAGCTGTCAGAGCTCTGAGGGCCGTGAGGGCGCCCCTGCCTCTGGCCTGCCGTGCTCTAGCCTGCCCAGACCACTGGGAAGGGCTGTTCCTATGCAACTGACAAATCGCTAAATTCTACTCCTGAAACTAACACTACACTGTATGTTAACCAAATTGAATTTAAATAAAAAAATTTTTTTTTAAAAAGTGGGCTTGCATTCAAGTCCCATATTGCTTTTTGTCTAGCCAGACTTCCCTTTGTTCAAGTTCAATTGTATTTATTCTGTCCCGTGGAGCTAGAATATACCAAGTACATTGCTGGAAATCATTTGGTCACATGCTTGTGCACAGTAAATGCCTCCACCTTTACACTAATTCTTGGGGAAGAAACCGTTCCATCTCCTCTTCACCGAGCCCCACTTTGTCATTCTGACGGCTCTTGTCTGGTGTCCCCACTTCTTTTGTACGATGTGGAGCGTTCATCCAGGTCGCAGCCCCGAGGCCCTGCTGAGCAGAATCAAGCAGCAGACTCCTGCCTGAAGCCAGCAGCTTGCCCCAAGCTCCGCTCCAGAAAGCAGTTTTTCTTTTTTTATGATTGCAATACTTTGTGTGGTCATTTTTATTTTGTACTAGTGTTGCTCAAAATTTTTAATCCATGTATTTAGGATTTTTAAAATTTATTAGAGAACACGAGCAGTGGGGGGGCAGAGGGAGAGGGAGAAGCAGACTCCCCACTGAGCAGGGAGCCCGATATGGGACTCGAACCCAGGACCCTGGGATCAGGACCTGGGCCAAAAGCAGACCCTTAACTGAGCCACCCAGGCGTCCCTAGATAAATAGCACTCTAATTGAATATTTATAGAAGTCAAAATTAATGCAAAATATTCACAGTGAATAAAATAGTAAAATTTTAAATAAAGACAGGATCAGTATTACTGATTATTTCTTTTGTGTCAGGCTTTAATGTGGCTTGGCACAAATACTGTTGATATTTTGCTTGTGTGTGGGTGGTTTTTTTTTTTTTTTGTATTTTTATTTCTCTTTTTTAACACTACATTGAAATATATTTCTTGATCACTGAGTTTTTGGGGAATCTTGCCCCTGAGGGGGCCGCCTGGTGCTCCTCGCCCTGGTCTTGGCCCCAGTCCCTAATTAGTGTGCATTTGGCCCCTCAGCGCTCTGCGGCCCACGTGGGGAGGATCTGGTGTAAGATTGGAGGCCTTTTTCTGCCATAACTCGTGGTCTGGCAGCCTTTTCATACTTTGAATCTGAATTTAGACCGAGCTCCTGATCCTGTTAATAGTCAGACCTTCCACATAAGGTACTCGGTCTCTCGGTAACATTAGTGGCCACATGCATTTTGCTAGAGACTAAGTTGTGGTTCTGCTGAGTCAGCTCTTAGGGCTTGGCCACCTCTTCTACACACCTGCCCCCCCCCCCCCCCAGCCTGGAGGGCCGTTAGGCCCGTGAGGCTTCTGGGCTCCAGTTCTCACAGTCGGGCCTGCCCTGGAGGCGGCTGTGGTGTGTCGGAGGGAGAGGTGGGGGAGGGAGGGTGGGAAGGAGAAGGGAGTGATGAGCAAGTACCTCTCGCCTGGGCCCCTGGGCACGAGAAGCATGAAGATGGGGTCCTGATGGGCCGCTGGGGCCCACGTTCTGGAGCACTTGTTTGGGCACAAAAAGAAATTGTTTTTCTTGTGCTCGGGGACAGTTTTGTTACATCTGAGAGAACTTTCTTTTCCCACCTGTTCATTGTGCCAGTTTTGAACCATCCTCTGTAATAATGTGAAACTTGCTTGACAACTTGGGCTTTGTACCAACAGTACTTGCAGGCTCCGGATCCTTTTGTTCATTTGGACCTGCCCGTCACAAATGTGTTAAGGTAGATTAAACTGCCGTGATCAGTAGCCCTGAGAGTACACGGGGTCAGGCCCAGTGGAAGCATGTTTCTTGCGCATGGACGACTCAGGGCAAGGGCTGGGGTCCGCCATCCCAGAGGCTTGTCATTTCCGTGCAGCCAGTGGAGGGGGTGAGCGCGGAGAGAGCAGACGGCCCACATCACAGGACCGTGCCCAACCGCAGAGAGAAGGCTGGGTGCCACCGCAGCTGGCGGGGGGGTGCGCCCAGAAGGCAGAAACCAGGTTTGGGTGCATAGCTCGTCATCCCCACTAAACATGTTATCTACCTGCCAAAATGAGTTGTTTATGAGACCCAGGCAGCTGTGAGGCGCATCCGGACGTGGCCTATTCACGGCAGAATTGTTTTGTCCTCTGCCGGCTTGGCAACAGGTGAGAAGCTGGTGCCCGGTGCCAGGGAGGTGCTCACGGAGATATTTAAGAGCTGTGCCCATTCCGAGCAGATGCTGAGCCTGACACCAGCAAAGCCCATCAAAGTATCGGACATTTATCTTAGCAAAGAGCAGATCAACTCCCAAACGCCAGGCAACCTCCTCCACCTCTTCTTCACCAACGTCCGGCCTCCAAAAAAGGTGCTGGAGGACCAGCTCACCCAGGTAGCTGCCCATCCCCGCCGTGCTGGTGCTGGGCCTCGGTGCGCCTTGGGGAGATCCTGAGGACCCCTCTCTCCCTCTGGTACCCCACAGATCCTGAGGAAATACGGCGTGCCAAAGCCCAAGTTCGACAAGAGCAAGTACAACAAAGGCGGGAAGGAGCAGCACCCCGTGAAGGTGGTGAGCACCAAGCGGCCCATCACCAAGCCGCCTGCCAAGGACAAGGCTGTGCTCAACAGTGTCAGGTGGGCTTCCGAGGGGCTCAGCACATGGGCCGGGCAGGGCACCCAGGGCCGCTGCCTCTGAGGCTTCCTGTGAGGCTCTCTGTACCTCTGGGAGCAGACCCCCTGGCTCTGCTTTGTGGCTCGATCATGTGGGTCCCTGGCTTCATCCACTGAAAGAGAGCGTTTCATTTTATCCACAAGTATAGTAAGATCTGGACCACACAGGCAGGCAAAAGCAGACTGGTCTAAAGTCATAAACCATCCAAAATGTACAGAATTGTTTAAAAAAAAAAAAAATTCTGACTTCTTTAACCACACAAATAATGCATAATTATTATAGAAAAACTATAAAATGCATATTGAAAAAAATGTGATTACCCCACACACCACTTATAAGTGCATAACCTTTTATTGATGCATGTGTATTATTTTCTTAAATTTTAAATGGCTGAGGGGCGCCTGGGTGGCTGAGTTGGTTAAGCATCCAACTCTTGATCTCAACTCAGGTCTTGATCTCAGGGTTGTGAGATTAAGCCCTGGGTCGGGCTCCGCGCCTTGAGATTCTGTCCCGCCCCACCATCCCCCCACTCGCTCACTCACTGTCTCTCTCTAAAAAAGAAAGAAATTTTAAATGGTTAAAAAAGTACATTTGGGGTGCCTGGGTGGCTCAGTCGTTAAGCGTCTGCCTTCAGCTCGGGTCATGATCCCAGGGTCCTGGGATCGAGCCCCGCATCGGGCTCCCTGCTCAGCGGGAAGCCTGCTTCTCCCTCTCCCACTCCCCCTGCTTGTGT